TGTGGAAACCAATCTAAGTGAACCTCTCTTATTCCTGCACAAGGGAGAGCAAGTGACTGTTTGAAAGTGAAGTCAGAGAACATTAATTCCACCACCATCCCCCAAATCAACTTCCCCATCCCATTTTGTGGGCTGAAAAAAGTTATCTGGAAAAAACTTCTTGGCTGCCCTCCCCAGCACAACAAATACACACTGGATGTTAGATCTTAGCCATATGAAGATCTTAGCCATTGTAGCATCCCAAATTGTTAAAAGAGAAAATGTTTTTTCCCTTTAATGAATGGATAAAAAAATGGCACTCTTTCAGTGTCATGCAGAAGGAACAATGCTTTTCAATCCCTTTGTCTTAGAAATTGTCAGAAATAAGTTAAACTCTGTCTTGTCCCAGAATTCACTGGGAGACCATAAGATTATTTCTTTCTGAAGCTGTTCTTCGAGAGCATTTTGCTCTCCTGAATTCATTGTTGCGCATCCAGGGATACTGTCAGGATTCTCATCCTATAGCAACCTGTTCCGAGTTTTCATGCTAGGCTTTCTCTTTTTTGAGATACTGAAGTTTTGGGGCGGTGCTGGAGGTTTTTATTTGTTTTCTCCCTGTAGACTGAGAGGAGATCTGGCAGGAAATGTCTACCAACCAAGTCCACTATCCTTTTATCTTGCAACTCTAGCTGTGTTCTTCACTAGAAAACATATTCTTTCTTCCATGAGAAATCTTCTTAATAGCTGCAAGAGTTAAGCAGATTTTTTTTTTTAAATTGTTATGTTCAAGTGGTAGAGTGAATACAGCAGGGATCAAAATTTGTCATTGTTTTTCCTGGACTGAAGAAGACTAGTCTATCCATCAGCTTAAAGTCTACCTGCCAGCAGTTTCTGCCCATTCTATGAAAGGTACTATCATTTTACTCCTCATCCATGATGCCTAGGTTTTGTAGAATATGATTAAAACCTTTCCACTACCTTAATGTTACAGTTCCTGCTGGGATCAGGAAATACATTTAAACTTGGGATCATTGCATCTGCTCTGTCGTCTTTGGGAGGTTTGCTTCTTGTCAGGGCCTCACATCTGGGACATCGTGGAAAGTGCCAAAGCTTGTCTGTCCCTCAGCCATTTACCCTCCGCTGCTCTCCTGAGTATTGGCACGAACAATGCTACCAGGGAGACCTGGACAGTGTCAGGAGTGACAATATGGCTCTGGGAGCCCAGGTGGTTTCTTAATCTGCCAGAAGGGGTAGAGGGAGTGGGCTTATTCTGCATGTGGACCATTGTTTGTGCAGCTGATTTCAACAACAAGGTTTGGGGTTTTGTGATCATGGAAACCTTTTTGAGGATTGAGGACTGCTTGGAAGAGATGGGATCCATCTAAGTGGGGAAAAAACATCTTTCCCAACAGGCTGGCCAGCCCTATTAGGAGAGCTATAAGCCAGGAATGACAAGGGAGGGAGAGTACAACCAGTGATCAAGAAAGGACTTAGTTGATTGGTTTGGCAAGCAAGCAACATGGGGTTATGTGAGCAGGAGAAATCTCATACTCAAGAAAACGGGGATGAAAGATGCCACCTGAAGCATATGCACATAGGCAGGGAACTGTGCACATCACAGCATTGTGAGGAAAGCACTCGTACCGTTTCTGGGAAATCGGCATGACTAGGTGCCTTTCTGAAGTGCCGGTGCACTAATGCATACTGCGGAGGAACAAACCGGAGGAGTTAGTGTGCAGTTGCACGGCCACAGTCTCGTTGGTGTGATGGAGAAATGGTGGGATAGCTCACGCGTCTGTAGTAAGGAAAGGGCTGTTCAGGAAGGACAGGCCAGGAAGGCAAGGAGGAAGAAGCTGGGATGCATGGAACTGTACAGGAGCAGATGTGGAGCCATTGGAGAGCTCATGGGCCAGGACTAGCGATTGTGGGCAGCATTGTGACGAGTATCTGCTCCCGACCACCTGATCAAGAAGAAGTGAAAAGGCCTTCTTCAGACAGCTGGAGGAAGCCCTGTGTTCATGTTTCCTGGGCCTCACGGGGCCACCCTGATATCTGTTGGAGGGACAACACAACAGGTCACAAGCACTCCTGAAGTTTTCTGGAGTGCATTGTGACAGTGTCGTGACACAGCTGATCAGGGAGCCAGCTAGGGAAGGGCAGTCTGCTGGGTCTCATGCTTACACACAAGGAAGAACTGGCTGTTGGTGTGAAGGTAAGGGGCAGCTTTGGCTTCAGTGACTATCACATGCTGGGGTTTGCTTTGGGATCTTGAGAGCAGGGAGCAAAGCAAAGAAGCAAGATCACAAGTCTGGGCTTCAGAAGAGCAGACTTCCACCTTTTCAGGTGTCTGCCTGGAAGAATCCCATCGGATTTGGTCCTGAAGAGAAGAGGGGCTCAGGAATGCTGGTTGAGTCGTGCTTAACCTGCCTCGTAGCCTTCTGTGATGAGACAACTGGCTTGTTGGGTGATGGGAGAGCACTGGATGTTTTTTATCTTAACTTTAATAAGGCTTTGGACACTGTCATAATGTCATCAAACTGATGAAGTATGGACTAGATAAGTGGACAGTGTGGTGGATTTAAAACTGACTGAAATGTCATGCTCAGGGGGTTGTGATTGCTAGCGTGAAGTCCAGCTGGAGGCCAGTCACTAGTGGTGTCCCCTAAGGGGTCAGTATTGGGTTGAGAACTATTTAACATCCTCATTAATCACCTAGGTGGGACAGAGTTCATGCACCCTCAGCAAGTTTACAGACAATGCAAAACTAGGAGGCATGGCTGATACACCAGGTGGTTGTGCTGCTATTCAGAGGGACCTGGACAGGTTGGAGAACTGGACTGAGAGGAATCTCATGGTGTTCATCAAGGGAAAGCGTAAAGTCCTGCACCTCAGGAGGAACAACACCCTGCAGCAATACATGCTGGGGGGCGGCCAGCTGGAAAGAAGCTTTCCCTGGGGGGACCTGGGGGTCCCAGTGGACAAGGAGGTGACCGTGAGCCAAGAATGCATCCTTGCAACAAAGAAGGGCAGCAGCATCCTGGGCTCCATTAGGCAAAGCGTTGTCAGCAGGTCGAGGGAAGCGATCCTTTCCCTCTACTCAGCACTGGTGAGGCCTCACCTGGAGTGCTGTGTCCAGTTCTGGGCTCCCCAGTACAGGAAAGACATGGACATAGGGGAGCGAGCCCAGCGAAGGGCCACAAAGCTGAGTAAGAGACTGGAGCATCTTTCATGTGAAGAGAGGCTGCAAGAGCTGGGACTCTTCAGCCTGGAGAAGAAAAGGCTCAGGAGAGTGTGGTGAGGAAATCTTATCAATGTGTATAAATACCTGATGAGAGGGAATGAGGAAGAGCCAGACTCTTCTCAGCAGTGCCCGCTGACAGGACAAGAGGCAATGGGCACAAGTTAAAAACCAGGAAGTTCAACCTGAACACAAGAAAACACTTTTAGTGTGAGGGTGGTCCCTTCAAACCAAAATGGTTCTGTGGGGTTTTTTCTTTTTTTTTTTTCTTTTTTTTCCCCCTTTTTTTTTCTTTTTTTTTCTTTTTTTCTTTTTTTCTGAAGTTGACAGGAGTAAAACAACAACCCCTTTTGTTTTCTTAAACCTCACTCTTCTGGAGTTGAGGTTTCATTGCTGCCTTCTTGAACTTAAGGGCTGTGTTCTGTTGTATTTTAAAAGCGAGGACATTTCTATTATCCCCAAAGTTGTGGGGTTTTTTATCCATTCATGTCTGCACAAATAGTTGTCCTCACTTGGAGACTAAAGTGGATCCTAGTCCTGTTAGAAGCCATCAGGCAATCCAGGTGAAGCAATGGTTAGTTACTGGAGTGTTTGTAAGCAACGTAACTTTGGAGTTTCTTGTCTATAGCTCTGTAGGTGTCTTTGCCTGATGTGCTGATACTATGAGAACCTCTAGGGGCATCTGTGTTCCTTAGGGTTGTCCTGAGCTCTCCATGTGAGTAAACCCAATAGCCACCTTCAGATCATTGTTAATGTATAGGGCACAGCTTGGAATTGGTTCAGACTCGCACAGACATGTGGCTTGTCGTTTGAACGCAGGTAGCAGTTGCTAGATCTAGAGTTCTTCAGGTGGGATAGTCCACGTGCAAGTTCACTTCATACCCTCTTTTCCTTTTCTCTCAAGTCTTGAAATTCTCTCTAGAGATTGCAGGGTGAGGGGAACTGACAAGGTCTTGGCCAGTGTTGGGAGGACTGTTGGGTTTACCTTTTCCTAATATTGTTGGTTTAACAAATGCCCTGAGCATTTATGGGGAGAGGCTACTCAAATCTTGATGTGGAATGTACATGACGTGGTTAGACTAAACATCTTAAACCCCCTTTTGCAAGTGAACAGCCCCTTTTCTGCTACTTGGTTTTGTACTAGGGAATTAATGATGATCCATGATTATACAGAAGGGAGTGAAATAGTTAAAAAGTTCATATGAGAATATGAAAGTTTCATATGAGAAGGCTTTACTACAAATGCTGTTTCTAGTGGTAGTTGTATTTGTGCTTAGAAAAAGGAGAGGTGGTGGGACTCAGCACCCACTGTACTTCTACGGGGGGGGCTTGACCTTGCTTGGCTGCCAGACCCCTGCCCAGCTGCACTCTCACTCCCCCTTCTCAACAGGACAGGGGGAGAAAATAAGGTGGAAAAGTTTGTGGGTCACGATAAAGACAGGGAGATCACTTAGCGATTGCTGTCACAGGCGAAACAGATTCAACGTGTGAAAAAGTAATTTAATTCCTTGCCAATTAAAAATAGAGTAGGATGGTGGGGAACAAAGACAAAGCTAAAAATGCCTTACTCCCACCCACCCCTCCTTCTTCCTAAAGGCTCAACTTCATATCTTCATCCCCGACTCTGCTACCTGCTTGCCCCCCGGGGGCAGCACAGAGGAGATGGAGGATAATGGGGGCTGCAGTCAGTTCATAGTGCTTTGTCTCTGCTGCTCCTTCTTCCTCATGCTTTTCCCCTGCTCCACTGTGGAGTCCCTCCCAGAGGATACCATCCTTCATGAACTACTCCAGCACGGGCACTCTCCATGGGCTGCAGTCCTTCAAGAATAGACTGCTCCAGTGTGGGTCCCCAACGGGCCACCGTTTCTGCCAGAAAACTTGCTCCTGCATGGGCTTCTCTCCAAGAGCCGCAGCTGCTGCCAGGAGCATGCTCCAGCGCGGGCTGTCCATGGGCTGCAGCTTCCTTCGGGACATCTCCCTCTGCTGCGGTGTGGGGTCCTCCATGGGCTGCGGTGGGACATCCTGCTTTCACCATGGTCTGTTCCATGAGCTGCAAGGGAATCTCTGGAGCACCTCCTCCCCTTCCTTCTTC